TGTGCAGAAGCTTTTTAGTTTGATCAGATCCCAGTAATGTATTTTTGGTGTTGCTTCAATTGCCCAGGGGGTCCTTCTCATAAAGTATTCTCCCAGACCAATTTTTTCAAGTGTTTCTCCTGCACTCTCTCCAAGAATCTTTATAGTTTCATGTCTTAAGTTTAAGTCTTTTATCCAGTGAGAGTCACTGAAACCTCAGACAGCAAAACCAAAGATAAGAGGGGACCACTGTATTCCATGTTTATGCAGGAGTGGGGCTGGCTTGTTAATTGTGCAAATACAAACACAGAATTTGGGGTCCCCTTCACCAGTTTTCTCCTATAGGAGATTTCCCCACACACTTTCCAGATTTCATGGGACCCCTTTTTATGGCCAGAAACATTGGGTTCTCTTCATTTTTGCCTTATTCAGTTCTATGTAGTTGAGGCTGCTCTTAGGGTAACACAGCAAGAAAAAAGAGAAGAGTATGAAGATGCGCCCACTCTCTTTTCCCAGTTCCTCTACACAGAGGGACAGTGTCCTCTTTTACTCTTTAGCGTCCTTGGCATCCTGGCAGCCCCATAGCTGCAGTGCAAATCCATATTTGGAAGCTGGTTTTGAAACAACAAAAAGAAAAGAAAAAGGGATCTCCCTGAGTGTTCTGTGTTGCAGGAAACCCTCTCTTCTTCACAGTTCTCAGTTTGGTCTGCTTTGGGGTAAAAGCGAGAAAATAAAGGAGGAAAAAAGAAAAAGGAAATTCAAACTCATTGGTAGAGTTTTATTTCCTAACCTGGGTGTTAGGTACAAAGATATTCTTTTGTATTATCATTCTTTATACCATATTAATACCTTATATTCATACTTTTGTATGAATAAACTATTTTGTGTAAAAATACGAGGCAAAACAGGAGAAAATAAATAAAAATCAAAACCCTGGCCCATAACCAGGGAAAAGCGTAGGGCTCTGACTAAAGCAAATGTAAAATTGTCCCAGAGGGGCATCACTATAAACTAGAATTTAAAGGCTTTTCGCAGTAAAGAAATCCCGCTGAAGATGGGCTATGAATAAAAATCGACAAGCCATGGTAGGAAGTAAACCACCATGAGAAACAGAGAGTTCACGCACAACAGAGAAATAGCAACACCACAACAGAACGTAACAAAATAATTTTACATAAATGTTTAAAATGATCAAAGAGATAAGGTGAAGAAATCACAATAAATAAATAGGACAATTTAAGAGAAAGCAGATTTGTAAAAGAATCCAATCAACCTTCTAAAAGCAAAACTCTTTGGGATACAAACTCAGTCCAACATTAAACTCTGGATTAGCAAAGATTAGGAAAGAATTTGTGAGTTACATGACAAATTTGAAGAAATCATCCAAAATGAAATAAAAAAGATGACGGAGCACAGATTAGGTCAACACAAGTTAAGAGACAAAGTTGAAAATGAGAAATTCGATTATATGCCTAAAGAGCTCTAGAAGAATGGAAAGAAGGGGGAGAGGCTGAAGTTTGTGGGGTTTTTTGTTTGTTTGTTTGTTTGTTTGTT